GGCTGCCCCCCATAGCCTTCCTTTGTGTCCGCCACTGGCTGGGAGAATAGGGGAAGGGACAGGGGATGGGGTAGAGGGCTGGACCGTTGTGTCTTGGGGTGGGATGGCGGTGGTTTTCGGTGTGGAAATTGTGGAAGTTGTATGAAATTTTGACCGGAAAAAGTTGTCAGAAAATTTTTCAGTAACATAGTGACACGTTTCAAGGTGACATTGACGACATTCGTAAGTGACATTAAAATTTGGCAGTGACAAATCATAGTGACACAAAAAAACACAGTGACATGAAAAATGTGGTTGGCGGGGGCGCTTGTGGTGGTGCATAGTTTCGCCGGAAAAGGTTGCCAAAAAATTTTCCGACAGTTATGGTGACATTCAAAAGTGACATAGAAATCTAATAGTGATATAAAATAGTGATATAAAAATTTCATAGTGACATAAAAAGTAGTGACATTATGTTTTTCCATATATGTGAACTTCTTAGTCACATTTTTGTCCTTTTATAAAAATGGTCATTTTTTTAATTAGCTTCAATTAGGTAATATTCAAGGAAAAAATCCTAAAAAGGGTGGAATGAGTTGTAATTTAAGTTGAAGATAGAGAAAAGTAAAATTGCAATTAGGCTTTTAGTACGTTGATGGAGAGAAAGAAAAGAATTGAAGAAAAGAAAAATAAAGAAGAAGAAACCAAGAGGGGAGGGAGGTTGCACTAGTATAGAGAAGAAGTAAGGAGAGTCCTGTTGGGTGAATTAGAAAAAACAAAGAAATTAATTAATTAAAACATTGTATGGATTGAAACAAGCCACTAAGCAGTGACACGAAAAGTCCAACCATGTGATGTTAATTAATAGGTTTAAAATAAACGAATGTGACAAATGCATATATCAGAAGAGCACAGTTGACGGCTATGTCATTTTGTGTCTATACGTGGATGGTATAGTCATCGTTGGTAAGAATATTATAATGGTTAATTCCACCAAATGCATGTAAACTCTAAATTTGACGTGAAGGATATGGGGCTGGCCGATTTAATCCTTGGGACTAAAATAATTAGGCGACCAGACGATCTTGTTCTAAGTCAATCCTATTATGTTGATAAAATTCTTACGAAGTTTAATATTGATGATTATCAAGAGGCAAGGACATCATTAGACAAAAAGGTACACCTTACCAAAAATTGTGGAGATCAGAGTATTTCTCAAGTAGAATACGCTAGGATTATTGGAAGCATGATGTATTTAATGAGTTGTATTGGGCTTGATATTGCCTTTGTGGTTAGCAAGTTAAATAGATAAAGATTGGAAGACAATAGTAAGAATTTTGAGGTATATACGGAAAACCCAAAACCTTGGACCGCACTATGCCAGATATCTAGTTGTACTTAAAGGGTATAGTGACGCTAATTGAATATCTGACATTAAGGACTTAAAGTCCACAAGTGGATATGCCTTCACTTTGGGAGATGCAGCCGTGTCATGGAAATCCTCGAAACAAACGATAATAGCTAGATCCACGATAGAATCTTAGCTAATAGCATTGGATAAATGCACTGAAGAGACTGAATGGCTTCGCCATTTTCTTGAGGATATTCCAAGTTGGGAAAAGTCTGTCCCTCCAATATGCATACATTGCAACTGTCAAGCAGCAATTGGAAGGGTACAAAGCAACATGTATAATGGTAAGTCTAGATATGTTCGTCGTATATAGACATAACATGCACCATTAAACAACTCCTCACAATAGGTGTTACCACGGCTGACTACGTGAAGTCAAAGGATAACATATCGGATCTGCTAACCAAGGCATTGTATAGAGAATTATTGGATAAGTTGTCACGAGGAATGGGACTAAAGCCCGTGAATTGAAAAGTTCTATAGTGGATACCCAACCTAGTTGTCCATAGGTTCAAAAGGAACAACTAAATTAGAGAGCGAAGGATGGTCACTGTGGGGGTCCCGAACTCCTACCCACTCCTCGTTGAAACAGTGTGACTCCCGCACGAGGTTAGAAAAAATGTTGCTTTAATCATTCTGAAACGTTGATCTGTTGGATAACATTTGAAAAGTATGCGGGACACTCATGAAAGAACACCTATGTGAGAGAGAAGAGTGTCGCTTCAAAGGAGAACTGTATAGGATCAGTTCGATCTTTAGAAACTCTTGCTGAACCAAGACGGTGATCCATGGCCAAAACGGGCACACCCATGAGAATGGAACAAAGTTAGTTGGAAGGTTCATGTGTAAAGATAAGTCAATGTTTACATGACGGCAATATAGTTCAAACACATCGAGCCTACTAGACAACCAGTAAATAATCATGTCTTTACAGTGAAAGGTTCAAAGGATAAAATTTATCTCTCCGTATGCAGGGACCATCCATTTACATCATTGTGTCCTCCTATCTTCATGTCTTTTTAAGTCTCGAAAATAAGTTTTCATTCATCTGAGGATTGTTGGAAAATGTGTTAAAAATTGCATCATATTAAATGGTCAATTTGGCAGTACTTTGAGTGGAGTCCACTCTATACTTCATATTTGGGTCGGGTCAAAGTGGTTTCAGATTCCCCTTTTAAGGGCTTCGATTCGCTATATGGTACACTCAAAACGGATAACATGTGAATGAGAAATTGATTCTCGAAGTTCACTCATTGAAATGGAGAAAACTAGCTAGGAAAATGATTGGTTTCTAGCTAGTGTTATTTATCCTACACCGGAAAACCCAAGAGTTTTTCACCCCTTTATAAAGATAACCGTCTTTGAAGGAGTTAAGATTTCTAGGTGTAAAGGCTCTCCTTGAGGGAGTTAAGATTCCTAAACCGTTACAGCATTGAATGTCCAACGTTCAGGGCCATTAAAAGAAAGTATGTTTTACTTGGGCAATTTCTTAAATATCTTTGTGTTGTGCAATGCCAAACTATTAAACTGGAGACGTATGTCTGTGTTAGGGTAAAATCCCATATCTCATTAATCGCAATCATGGAGGATATTTATACAAGTATTCATCTACAAGAGCCCTTAGCCCAAGCTAACAAATACAATTAAATTAAATTAAATTAATTACAATGGGCTAAGTCCATAACCAACATGCTAATACCCCCCTCAAGTTGGAGCATGAGGTTCAAAAATGCCCAATTTGTGAAGAAGATGAAACGGCGCTTGCCCAATGCTTTAGTGAATATTTCCACTAATTGATCAGTGGTAGAAACACGACGAGCGACGAGCAGCCCTTCTTGAATAGCATCACGAACATAATGACAATCAACCTCAATGTGCTTGGTACGCTCAAGCAATGTGGAGGGCTGAATTGTTGTCACAGTATAGAGTCATAGACCGCGGATGGTCAATGCCTAGACTAAGAAGGAGCCCCTTAGCCCATTTAAGTTCTACCGTGGTAGCAGCCATGGATCTGTATTCCGCCTTGGTGAAAGACCGAGAGACAGTATGTTGTTTCTTTGTCTTCCATGAGATAGGAGAAGCACCCAAAAAAACAATCCATCCAGTAAGGGAGCGACGAGTAAGTGGACAACTAGCCCAGTCTGAGTCACACCAACCTGTAAGAGTCAAATCACAAGTAGAACTGAGAAGAATGCCCTGTCCAGGAGTACCTTTGAGATAACGAACAACCCGTAAGGCCGCTGTCCAGTGATCCTGTCGAGGGGCCTGCATAAATTGAGATAAAATATGAACAACATAGGCAAGATCAGGCCGAGTAAAAGAGAGATAAAGAAGACGCCCAACAAGACGGCGATAGGACTCCGGATCAGCCAGAAAATCACTCTGAGAAATAGCCAAACTATGATTCTGTTCAATAGGAAAATATGCAGGTTTTGCCCCAAGAAGTCCAGCCTCAGAAAGAATGTCCAAAGTATACTTGAAAGATACCATTAGCACCACGAACCACCTCAATCCTAAGAAAATACTTCAGAAAGCCAAGATCTTTCATATGAAAACAATTATGCAAATAAGATTTAAATCGAGCAATAGCACCACTATCATTGCCCGCAATAATTAAATCGTCGACATAAATGAGAATAAATAATTGAGCCGAGCCCTGACTCAAAGTGAAAAGAGAATAATCGAAATAGGACCGCTGAAAACCATACTGCTTCAGCAAAGCAGTTAACTTTGCAAACCAGCATCGTGGGGCCTGACGGAGACCATACAATGACTTCTTCAGTCGACAAAACTGCCCAGGCCGAGAGGAACAGAACTCTTCCGCGGACACATGAGGAGGCCGGTAATGGTTTCAGCCGGTCGAGTTCATCATATAAACTCATCAATGTTGTATAGTAGGCATCCACAATCATTGTTTTGGTCTGTTTACAGGCTGAAATTGAGGCCTTCAATTGCTGCAACCTCGGACCATTAGCAACACTGTATCTCTTTTGAAGATAAATCCAAAGGGCTCTGGCTTCTTCATGAAACGGGATAGAGACCGCAATCGTGGGTTCCATGCTTCGAAGAAGCCATGAAACAACCATGGAGTTACTCGTTTCCCAGTTGGACTGTTGTGCCTCCTCTGCGGGTTTCTTGAGAGTGCCATCCACGAACACGTGTTTCCGGCGAGCTTTAAGTGACAACAATATAGCCCGAGACCAAGCTACATAATTATCTCCTCTAAAGATGATATGAGTTATAAGATTCCCCGGTTGATCTCCCGAACGAAGGTAAGATGGTGAAGTAATTTCCACCGCCATAGCTGCTCAATTCCGTACACGCTGGTGCCGGTAATTGAAGGACGAAGAAAAAGGATCGATCAAACTATACCTTAGTCTGATACCATGTTAAACTGGAGCCATATGCATGTGTTAGGGTAAAATCCCATATCTCATTAATCACAATTATGGAGGATATTTATACAAGTATTCATCTACAAAATAGCCCTTAGCCCAAGCTAACAAATACAATTAAATTAAATTAATTACAGTGGGCTAAGCCCATAACCAACACGCTAATACAAACTGTGTAGAGTTATTAACATACCAAGTACTTTTCTAAAGGCAAGAAAGAAAATACGAATTATTTGAAAGATGGAAGGAGGTACAAACCCAAAGCTACCAATTATTTTTTCACATAGCAGAGCAAAGTTACATTGGAGGCGCGGGTAGTGATACAATTTCAAGTACAAAGGAACAGAATAATTACAATTCTGGTAAAAATGGGATTCTGTCCCAATGTACGTAACATATGACTGACTGTTTTCCAAGTACAGTTATGTTTTATGTCTAGTTTCAACTAGAAGATGGCTGGCTAGCTGTAATTAAGCAGTTGATCGACCGACTTCTGATGATATCTATATACATAGATGATACATGTATGTACATACCCGACCATAGTTAGTAAACCTAGCTTTGAATATATATACACACATGCATACTTATACGTACGTGCTACGTATGAAGCGGCTACAAACAAAGTAGTTGCATGCTACATATGATCGATCGATAATATACACAACCAAACGTATAGTATATAATTAATGTTATTTGGAGGCATCCTCGTTGTTGTCGTCCTTGTCGTTGTCGTTGGTGCCACTGCTTTTCCGAAGCTGCTGCTGTCTCTTGGCGAAGAGGAAAGCAGTGGCTTTGGCATCAATCTGGGGGTCGGCCACCCAATTCAGGCGGTCTTCGTCGCTTGGCCACACTCTGTACGCCTTCTTCACGAAAACCTCCTCCCTCCCATACTGATCTTCTTCGGCCCGTTGAGCCGTCTTCTTCTTCTTCTTCAATTTGAGCAGCTCGAGGAACGAGATAAGCCCTGACTTCTTGCCCATCCTAGATAGATACAGATGTTTATTTTGCTTTGTTTTGTTTTTCTCTAAGGAAATAGTACTGAGTGTCCACTACTTATAATGGCAGTGCATGACTGCATGATGAGCCAAAGGGCCGGGCAAGCACTGAGAATCTGATTCCACACCATATATATATATTCCTATCATCACCAAATTAAAGAGCATATAATAAGCTAAGCTAAGCTAAGTGCCCATTCTTTATTAATTACTACGTACATTTTTATGTGTGACATAGTATTTACTGGATTTCATAGCCCACCGTAACTTTTCAAAAAATGTACCAAAAAGAATGACCGAGAATATCTAGCCTTTTTATATTCTTAATTCACTTGCAATCAATAATTGTAATTTGTAACGACAGAACCCCTAGATTATTTCATACATACATAAAAGACCAAATTATATACGGAAATTGCAAAATACGACTATTATGTTTTTCTTTCTGAAATATGAGTCATTACTGTCATAATTGAAATGTTAATGTGTGCTAGTAGTGCAACTATTTTGGCTGTAATGATTCTAATATGACAATAAATACTACTACCTTCGTCCCCCTAAGTTTGGGACAAAGAGGTGAGACATGTGGTGTGGTTGTTAAGAAAAAGTAGAATTTTGTGATTGGTATTGAATTGATAAAATATGAACAAAGTAAGAATAAACTGTAGTCACTCAAATATTATCAAATATGGTATGTGACAAATTAATGGGACGGACGAAAAAGGTAAAACTGGACAAAGTTAGGGGGGCGAAGGGAGTATCATGTTACCTCTATTTCGGGAAGAAAAACATAGGAGTCGTAATTAGGGATTCCAAAACAAGGTTACTCCAATTTCGGGAACTTTCTCAATTAAATATTTCCTAGTGAGCAGCCAAAGTAGAGTTTTTGCCACTTTCGGTGCCTCAACTATTGTATCAATGACACTCATGGTACTAGATTTTCTATTTTTTCATTTTTAATCCTCGACTATTGTGCGAGGGACACTTTTAGTCATCGACGTCAAAGTCTTCCACATTTAGTCACGTAAGTATTATCAAATCGACACTTTTAATTATCTTTTCATAACGATTTTGTCACAATAAGTGAAGAACTAAAAATGTCACTAATATAATACTCTGTCCCGCTAAGATTGTCTTGAACATTATTCACTTGGTCAACACAAATCACTCTTAATCTCTTACTTTATATAATAATTTTTTATCAAATTTGATTCTGGTTTTTGTGACTTTGTAAGGTTTTTAATGCAGTTTTTTCATATGTAAGTTATTTTTTCTAAAAATAATTTGAGTGCGGATAGGGATCTGATTGCTTTATCGTCGGTGTAGTAGTACTACACCGACGATACTACTACACCGACGATAGAATGGCCAAGTTAAAAGTGTAACTTTTATGAAAATAGAATGACTAAATATGGAAACTTGCACGAACAGGACATGAGTTAGTATCCAATGGACAACCACCAATATCTAATACACAAGAAGTTAGGGTCAGGCACATCATTATCCAAAGGATAATTACCAGGGTCGTCTAAGTTGGAGCTCGCGTCATTATCGAACTCGAGTTGAACATATGTTGAAGCATGTTCAAGTTGATCTCAACGGTTTAAGTATATTTTTAGTCCCTCCAAATGTAGTGCATTTTGTTTTACAATCCTATAAAACTATGTTGTTTTTTTCATCCTGAAATTTATGTTGGTTTCTTTTTATTCCTTTATTGATGATAACAAACTCCTTTTGATGACAACGATACAATCCCGACTAATAAATTTTCTCTAAATTTATGTCATGTTATTCAAAAAGTATTTAATTTTATTTTTAGAATGTTTTTAATACATATTATAAAAATGAGTTTCGTTTTACATTATTTTAACTCTCATATTAACCAAGAAAAAATTATAATTAAAAAGATAAATGTAAATGTATCTAGTAGATTTATGTAATTGACAATAATTTGTTTGTGAGTAGACTTGTTTTGGAATTAAAGATAAACTAAAAACAAAATAGTAAAGATGAAAAACAAAAAAAATACAAATAGCTAAAATGAATGTATCATACTCCCTCCGTATTTAAAAGATTCCTACACTTTTCTTTTTGGGTTGTATTTAAAAGGTTGCTACATTTTCCCCTTTTGATAAGTTTTTCATTTAAAAATACTCAATTACCCTTACTTTTTCTACTTTTCTACTTTTTCACCTTCTCTCCTACTTTTTCCATACTATTTCATTACCCCTATTATTTCCCTCTTAAATATTGTGTCAACCCCTAGTATAGAGATCATTTAAATATGGAGGGAGAATTTATAGCTCTAAGCATAACTAGCCTACAAGCATAACTAATGAAAAAGAAGTATCCCAACTCCCAAGCATTGAGGAGGATTATTGCTTAGTATTCCCTCATTATTTGCATCATGATTCCAACATATTTCATTTTGCACCAATCTCCATCGGTACGCAAGAATTTCATTTCAATCAATGAGCGCCATTGAATAATAATCATCATGGTCCTGGCGGCTGTACCCCGTATCTTGCAACTCGTCAGATCCGTATTGCACCCCAAGTGAAAACATATACGTAGTACTACGTACTCCGTAATTCCTGTTCTTTATACGGAGTATATTCCGGTTTAAGGCTCACAAGGGATGAGACGGAGTCATGAGTTATACTCCCTCCGTTTCTAAAGAAGCTCACACTTTCCTTTTTGGAATGTTTCAAAAACAAAATCACACTTTCCTTATTTCCTTATTTGACAAAGAAATCTACATCCAAACAGTGCCAAACAGTGACAAACAGTGTCTAAACAGTGTTTTCTACATTAAAGTCAATTTATTTGCTTAATAATTGTGAAGTCAAACCGTGACTTTCTTTTGGAAACGGAGGGAGTATTACTATACATCTGTCCCCTAATATTAAGATGGAAGAGAGTGATATGGTTTTTAGAAAAAGTATAATTATGTGATTGATAATGAGTTGATATGGTGGGAATAAAGTAAAAATGAATTAGACCCACATAAATGTTATGAATATGGTATGAGACAATAATAGGGAGACATCCAAAAATGAAAAAATGAGACCATTATAGGGGGGATTGGAGGGAGTATAGATATAAGAGGTGAAACGCCCATTGTTAGGATGTTTTTAAAAGGATGTTTCCATTTGAAAGTGAAATTTGATGGTCTTGCCTAATCTGGTCTAGTTTGAAGTGGTTTGATCTTGTCTGGTAAAAGTCTGGACTTTTTGTATTTTATAATTATCCAAGTCTGGTCTGATCTGTTTAAATCTGATTTAAGACTGAAAACAATCTAAAAGAAAACATTCTAATTTCAATTTCAGTTCAAACTAGATCATATCATATTTACGGCGGTGATGTTCTTGATAGCTAGGTTCACGGGGTTTGTTGATGGTTGTGCACCCAGGATTAGGGGACGAGTAGGGTTAGAGGTAAAGGCGGGTGGGGTGGTGCAGGGATAGGTGAATCATGGCACACTAGTAGAAAACTGTTTTACAGTGACACTTTTTTTGTGACACTTTTTTATTAAGTATCACTAGTAGACGACTTAACTAATTACTAACATATAAGCGTCATTAATGAGTGATACTATAGCATCAATAAATACTTATGATACTAAATATTAATTTAACATTTTTTTCATTTTTTTACATCAAATTCCCTCCAAAACCTAAATTCCACTCCACTACTTTTATTCCCCCAAAAATTTACGATTCCCCCCAAAAAGTATTAGCATAATGCATGTCTAAACCCCTCTTCAAGAGAAGAGATATCACTTATCTCTTTCACTCTTTCGTACATCAGCCCTCTTTCCAACCCAAATTCCAGCCATTCATCGAAATCATACAAGCCCATAGGCTACTGGGCAGGGGCAGATCCAAGAATCATGGCTGGGATGCGCTGAAGAGTAATTATACGACACTTAAACATAAGAGGAGTGGCTAAATATGAACAATGAAAAAATTACAATAAAAAATGTATAAAAAAATAGGTTGCACTGGGCGATGGGTAAACCTATAGGAAATCCCCCCTTGCAGGTGAGGCTGATGGATAGTTATGGGTCTGATGGGCAAGGGTGGGGGCGGCGGTGGCCGGTGGCCGGGAAGTTAGAAGCGGTTGTTGCCGGCAGGGGTGACGACGGTGGAGGGGGAACAGTGGTGTCACTGGTGTTTTAGTGTAATTCTAACTAGGCAGTGAGGGATCGAACCGGGGGCGAGACCGGTGGTGGCTGGGGCGGGGCAGATGTCTCCTGATAAATGGAAATGTTCGTTCAGTCACTAACACGCTCACTAGAGTACTCGACCATGTGCTTTTTAAATTGCATTTTTCTGCCGAGAATATAGTTCACAAATCAACATTTGATTCGACCGTTTGAGTCTCGCTCACCGTGTATAATTAATGGACCATTCTTGGTGTACACAAGTTCTACACAAAATGTGTATATTGTCTGTGTACACAGACAATTTGACATCAAGTTCTGCCCCTTTTTAAACTATCGAATTGCTTGTGTACACAGGCAACTAGATGGGTTTTGTGTACAACTTGTGTACAACTCATGTACACTAATCATTTTCCATAATTAATCTTCTGTGCTCAAAATCTGAAATACTACGTATATATGAATCTCTTTTGAACTTTCTAACATTTTTAACTCATTGAATATTGCAGTATTAACGGGGAAATTCAAGATTTTCTCTTCAGAGTATGTGCGGCGGGCAGGGGCGGAACTATGTTGGGCGCCGGAGGTGCTCGTGCCCCTGCGGATTTTTATTTACTCATTATATATGTATAATATATACTCCGCATATATATGTTACTCCTAGACAGTGCCCCTGCACCTGGACAGCCCCTGCGGATCACAGCTAATTGCTAAACATTACTTTGTATTTTCCAAAAAAAAAGCACTGTTGAAAATTCAATTGAACCTAGCATGATATGATGTACTTGGCAACAACTTAGGAAAAAGACCAGGCCATTGGATCAACATGTCCAGTGGTTACTATGATTCCTTTATAC